CCCCCCCCCCCCAACGACTCGTTACTTGATGTGCCTACATGCTGTGTTAACACACTTCGATCAGGAAACAAAAAGCACCAACCCCAAGCCAACCCCCCGTTGATCTCATGCACAAATAATTACTAGCCTTTCCATTCAATAAACTGCAAGGAGGATTGAGAGAAGGCATTTACAGGCGAGAATGTGCATTTAAAAAAAAAAATGTGATTCAATCGGATCACCATACTAAGGTTTCATTGATACAATCTGGCTCGTGTATTTTTTATCTTTTTTTTTATATAAAAAGGTGTATTTCATTGTGAAGATCAAGACTCCTCAGTCACTGGTAGGCCTACATTGTTCAAACTTGTCGAGCAGGTCTGATGGAAACATTAGCGGCATGATCTCCCCTTCGATTTTTATCGGCACTGATTTTTAGACAAGAACAAAAGTCACAAAACCAAACGTTAATAAGGAGGTGGCAGGAAAATAAATAGTTTACAATGCATTTTTAAAGGATGCCGTGCACCATCTGTATTTCTTTACCTCAGTTTTAAGCATTGATGGCACGGTCCCTTCAAACTAATTCGGACGGGGCAAACTATTAATAATAAGGTAAGCTCTTTAGTTTGTGTTTTTTTTCAAAAGGGACAGTTAAATTTTTAATCATGCCATTAATGACTGCAATTTGTTTTGTTTTTTGGGGGTTGGGGGGGGGGTGTAAGAAAATAGTTTAAGGCTTACATTCATCGCCTGCCTACACCAAGAGCTGTGTTAGTATTGTCGCACCATGTTGTTGAACGCATGCCTACACCGAGAGCTGTGTTAGTATTGTCGCACCATGTTGTTGAACGTACGCATCTTGTTTATGATTATTTGTTGGTCGTAAGTTATGTGACTTAAACAATCGTGACAACTTACTGACAACATACTTTGATCTTTTCGTTTCTTCGCATTAACATAAAGCACATAACAATAATATACGTTTTCTACTTTCAGGTTTAATGTTTTACAGCAGCCAGTACAATTGACTGCCAGAGTCCTCCGTTGTTGCTGTTACCCGAGAAAGACAATGTCACCCATTTCATGGAGTACACCAATTTATCTAGTGCTAATCTGTGGCATAGCCATCCAAACACCATTCTGTTCAGCACAGGGCTTTGGGAGACGGGTGAGTATGCCTACATGATATATCTATTGCGTAATACATCATTCGATCCTGTCCAGTTGTTGAACATGATGTAAACCCATGGAAATCAATATCGAATTTTATCGCATGGACTGTGGTCAATTTGGGTAAAAAAATGAGTAGCTGTTTTAAAGGAATCTTCACTAGAACAATGACCAACTGACTGAAACGCATCTAGTTTTCTTTCTGTAGAAAATATGTGGAAGTCGCTCTTGATCTACAGCTCCACTATCTAAGAAAAGAAATTATTCCACAGAAGATGACTTTACGTGTTGACCACCTATAACCACATTAACCCCAAAAAGATACTGGAGCGTTTGGTGCATGGTTTTCTTTCTTTCTCATTCGTATTGCTTTGCTGGGAAAGATTCTGATGATAGTGTTTCTTGAACCGATCCTTGTGTCCCACATGCGATTGAAAGAGGTGTCACAGCTTAAGATAGGTCCATCACATAAGCTGATTTTAATGATCACACAATTTTTTTATTTTTTTTTGGGGGGGGGGCATATTGAAATACTTAATATTTAAGTTAAATTCTTAAAGAT